TGTGTGTGTGTGTGTGTGTGTGTGTGTGTGTGTGTGATCGCGGGGGGGAGGCGACCCCCCCACCGCCAATCAATCAATCAATCAACCAATCAATCAATCAATCAATCAATCAATCAATCAACCAATTAATCAATAATCAATCTTTTCTTTCTTTTTTTCACACCCGGAACCTTTTTTTTTTCTTTTTTCTTTTTTTTTCTTTTTTTTCATGGTGGGGGGCGGTACCCCCCGACACCCGACCCCCCCTTCGCCCATCCACCCCCCCAACCCCCCCCCGGAAGGTCCTGCACGAGCGGCCCGATTCCCGTACGTACGGCCCGTATGGGGGTGTAGGGGCCCGTACGTATGGTCGTACGCACTTTTGTACGGTCCGTATACGTACGGGCGTATACACAGCGAGCAGCCATAGCCGACCGCCGGCATTCTCAACTCCGACCAGCACTGGGGTTCCCCACACCGTCCCTCCAGGAAGAGTGATGACGGCGACTGCGTCAGAGTCCCCCCAAGTGATAGAGAGGATCATAGTGCGATACTCCAGGATGCGTACAGACGTCGAACGCGACGATGGAGGTGACACCAGCGCTCATGGTGAGGATGTGGCGGAGGAGTTTTGCACGGACGACGACGATGAAAGCGAGGAGGATGACGAGGCTGCAGCAAAGGAAATGACATCAAAGGGTCGGAAGAAGAAGGCAAGCAAGAGTTGTGGGAGGTCGAAGGTGAGGGAGGAACAGGAGGGTGCAGATGCCGAGGGTGGGGGTCACTGGGGGAGGGACCACGCACCAGAAATGGCATTTGGACGAATCGCTCGTCCTCGTCCTGTGCAAAAAGGACCTCGACGATCATATGGCGAGCCACGGCAGGAACTTCGCACGTATGAAGACGAAGACCGGGAAACGGAACGGGATAGCGAAGCGGATGGCCCAGCAGGGGGTTACGAATAGAGATGGGGATTCATGCATGAAGAGATGGGAGAAAAATTTTGGGTGGTATAGAAAAATTTGGGACAGGGAGAAAGACGAAAAAGCGTAAACAAGTTGGGTAAAAGTTCGCGATGGATCGACAACTGTACGATGCCATCGACGCGACAACCCCCAACAATCAGGCCATACACCTGCCTAATCTTAGTAATTTGCATGACACCGGTGCACTGCCTCCACAACAACCGAATGACGGTGACCAGAGCCAAGCAAGAGGGCCGACTGTCGTCGGGGAAACATTTGCGAGTGACAACATGGAAAGAGGAGTGGGGGACCGGTATGGCAGCAGGTCTTCAGGGGCACCCCTACGGGGAAGCGAAAGAATGCACGGCAGCTGGCCTTCGATGCTATCACAAACCTCATGAAGACACGTTCGATGGTCGTGGCAGATTTTGTGGATCGTGCCAACAAGCGTCAATGCGATGTGCTGCAACGGCAATGCGATATCATGGAGAGGGAGGCGAGGACGCAGGAGAAACAGTGCGAGGTGCTTGACGCGGGTCAGCGCATGTTGTGCAATACATTGATGAAGATAGCATCCGCGTTGTCTCGGAGTTTATTGCAACAGGCCCCATGGAGTGCGGAAGAGACGACGACCATCCAACCCCCCCCCCCTTCCCCTCTAGCCCTCCCCCGCTGAAAAACAACCCTCCCCAAAGCCCTTTCACCCTCGCCACAGTCTTAAGGAATTCCCAAATACGCTATCTGTACCGAATTTTCAGGTCCATCGTAGGCATGACCCTGCACAGGGGATGTGAAGCAGCCGTCCTCCAATCGGAGCAGGTCATCGGACGGTGATCAAGATGGCATCAGGCTGTGTGACACCCGCGGCCTAGGCCACGGGCAATTCGGCCGCTGCGGCCGAAACAGCCGACCGCAACCGTGGCCGCCAGGCCTAGTTTGCGGCCCGATTTTTTTGATATTTTTTTGGGGGTCAAAAAATAAGTGAAATATATATATTGTCACAGAACTATTGACTAAGAGTGTAAGCACGTGAGGTAGAAATATATATATCGTATATATATCGTATATATATATCGTATATATATATATATGGGGTTGTAGGGTTTTGAAAGCCCTACAGCCCCATATATTTTTAAACGAAAATCGGTTTAAAATAAATAAATGAAAATATTTTTAAAAAAAAGCAGGATTTCTTTTTTTTTTTCATTTTTTCCATGACTGATATGGAGTTAGAGTCCTCCTAAAAATTTTGCCAGGGTAATTGTTTTTCTTTTTTTTTTTTTT